GATAAGGAATTTCTTAAGAGCCAGATTCAGTGTTTAAGGTCAGAAACAAACTGAAAGTTTCTAGCAGAGGGAGGTGATATTCGTGGCCAAGAGAAAATTTTAAGCGATCAGAATTCCTAAAGACCCCCCAGCAAGTCAGTGAGAGCCATCTAACAATTCAAATTAGCAAAGTCCTTTTTCAGATGTTCGATACACGAGCGAAGGCAGTAGCTACAAGTTTTAAGTGAAGACAGTTCAGGTTCAGTAAGATACTTATTAACAAGGTTATTCTATCGAGCCCTTAATGCAAAAACCTTCCCACAGTCGGAGGGGGGATAAACAAAAAAAGATGCGGAATCTGGACGTAGATAACTAGAGAATGATTTGAACGAACGGAATGGGTGGGGTTAGAAAGAATGGTGTAGCTTCCAAACCGGTATATAAGGAATCTACAAAGTTATTACTGCTTCAGTCCTTCCCTCCGCTGTAACGTAGCTTGTGCTTTTTCTATAAAAAGCTTCTCTTAATTATTTAACCCTAAGCAAAGCGATAATGCCGAGACGGAAGGAGAAAGAAGAGAAGAATAATTCAGAAAAATTGAAAGTTGGCGATGCAGTAGTTATTTAACATCGGTGGTAGGGTAAGAAACCGAAAGTTCAAACGAGAGAAACAAAAAAAAAAAAAAAAAAAAAACTATTAGATGTTAATTGTTTTGATGAGCTTTCCATTTTGGTACCTGTAATTTAAACATTAACATGTAGATTTTTAAATCTACATGTGTAACTAAGCTATGCTAATCGCTTCATGCTTGCCGATCTCTTAGAGCTTGTTTTGTCAACTAAGATGTTGACAATTTAAATGCAACGTCAATTGTCAGATGAGGTTTTCTCAGTGGCTTTACCGCATTGTTTGAGGGGGGGGGGTAACTGATAAATTGAAACGCTACACATTGAGGGTCTAGTGATTTTTTTTTTTTTTTTGCTTTTGAAACTACGTTAAATAATTTACGAAATCTACCACTTCGTACAACCGAAGTAGGATTCTAACAAAGTCATTTCGTATTAAAAAAGGAATGAATAATGAGTTTTAAAATGACAGACAAGTTAACCTATAGACAAGAGAGAAGGTATAACAAACACGTGTGCCAAGTCTAGTCAAACTTGAGCTCTTTCCACAGGTGTGGAATAAAAAAAAAAATAAAATAAATAAATTAAAAAAGTTAGTTCAGACTTCATTAAGACCTTATGTAAGACTAAAAGTGACCGGAAGTCACTCATTAAAAGTTCAAGTGACCGGAAGTCTTTAAACGCCTTAGGAAATTAAGGTAACAAGTGGAGGGAGGCGTTTGGCTTGTATTTAACGTTTACAGTAGATTTTAATGATATCCCGACATTCAGTCCCCCCCCCCCAACACTTAAAACAATACGGGCAACAACAGCCGGCACAAGACTACCTCCCGCTCACACAGGGTCTAGCTACAGAAAAGCAACTACACACCAGAATTGTTTCGAAGCAAGGTTATAATAACCTGGCTTCGAAACAATTCTGGTGTGTAGTTGCCTGCTTAAAGTTACCAGTTTTAGAACTGCCATCCATTTTTAGTATGATTTGAAGTGTATTTCCTATAGTTTAGACATTCAGCGTAAGAAGCGTTTAACAGTATGGCAAAAGTTTAATTAAAGTTAACGTTCATCGAGAATGGTGTCATTTTTACGGAGACGAGTAAAAGATAAACTTAAAAAGTTGATATTTCCAACTTATAGCGTAAAGTTCACAGCACCTGATAAGATGGCAGGAGCAAAGACCTGAAATGTTAATTAGTTTCTGAAACTTTAGCGTCTTAAGAGGCTTTATACACTGCGCGGTATGGCCAAGCTGTGAACAAATTTTGGTTTCAAAAAGGAAGTATCGATTTATCCCTTCGTTTCACGGTATTGTTAGTTAATCAACCGTGCAAAGAGGACGTGAGAAGACACGGCAAGAGCAAATGAGACAGCTATAAAATACATTGACAACTGTATCAAGATACTGTGCGATAAAAAAAAAATAAAAATAGACGCAGCGATGAAGTGGGGGAATTGACAAAGACAGGGATAAAAATCGAGATGCTTTTTACTTCTTTTTTTACCGATAGTAACGAGATATTCGACTTTTCATGGCGGCTTATATTTGAGAATATAAACTGGCTATCTATAGAGAGTCGCAGCTGTTAAAGATATTTCTTTCATTAAGTGTTAGATTTAGTAGGTGCGCGTGTTAGAGTAAACGTCGTTTTTCTTCGTCTTTTTAAATCATTTCACCCCAAACAGGATGAGAATGCCACTAGTACACGGGATGGGGGTACGCAGAGTCAAAGTGAGAGAGAAAGACTGGCTATAGGGAGGATTGAGGAAAGGACAATAGATGAACGGGATTCAAGATAGTACACTACGATTGAGGCCGCATTTATGTTTAAGATGTCAGTTATCAGGAAAGAAAGTAAAAGGGAGTTCCACAAGCGGAAAGTGCGAGAAAATTTACAGTTGGAGTAGATGTGTCGGTTACATTTAGCTATTGCAAAGGTAAACGGGTGGGACCGAGATGCGAATCTAGTGCAATTGGCGGGTGGGGGTAATCAGAGTAAAAATTAGAGCAGTTGCCATGAAAGTATTTTTAGAAAAAAAGAGGGAATCCCGCCTCGTCAGTGAAAAAGTGACTGAAGTCGAGATGTTAAGTCAGCATCGATTATATTAGAAATCCTTCTTTGGATTTTGTCAAGAACTTCAGAAGTCCTACTAAAAAACGTGCTTCTTGACAGAAATAAAAACTGTTACTTACCTAGATTTGCTACCCATTGTCCGCGAAAACAAAAATTGATAAAGTCGTTATCTTCCTCAGAGCCCAATGCTCAACCTTGAAAAATGTAGACAAGTCTAAGCTCAACCGATAAAAGAATGCGGCGAAGGTATGATTCTGTTTTGAAAACCAAAACACTTGCTGACCGTATTAAAGTTCACCACTGAGACAATATTAAACGTAACTACTTATTTATGTAAAGGATACACAGCCCAGTAAAAGTTAAGAGGTGTGACAAGGCTATAAAGATAGACCGTTCTATGAGAGCGCGAAGTAATATTTGTATTTCCATATTTTCTGCAATAAAGCTGTGTAAACTTGTTTTGCAATTCATTGATAGTTAGTTCGATCCTCGGTGGGGCTACTGTTAATGCGCTCTCTTCTTAAAGATCTTTTGAGGCTAAGGCTAGCTCGGTCCATGATATTCAACATGGAAGGTGTTATTTACGCAGTAGAGGTTGATTTTGACACAAGACCACAGATATGGAGCGCCAGTGAAGCTCAAAAACTGATCTCACTACTTCTTTTATGTTCCGTGTCCCTTCTGAACGTAGGCGATCATGACCCTCCACATCCTCCTGCCCTTTGTTGCTCTTAATATTTTTTGCCTTTTTGTTATTTCTCACAAATCCTGTTCTACCATCCATTTGGTCAAGCTCATCAAGTATGTTACGAGCTGCTTTCTTCGGCCACTCTTTCCCTCAGTCTGTCCTGTGAGTATCAGGTTCTCCAAGCCCACTTTTCTCATTACGTGCCCCAGAAATTTAAACTGTCTCTTCCTGATGTTAAGTATGTTTCCTTTTTATTTTCATTTTCTCCAAAAGCTTGTATTAATGTTCTGAAAGTTCAGCTTGTTGACCATTAGGCCACAATGATGCACTTTATTTACAAAGCCTGGTTTAGGTTTTGCACGTGGCCGCATATATGGAGCATCTAGTGGGAACCAAACTAAAATATTAACAAAAATTGCTAACACCATTATAAGGCTATTATGACTTGGCGAATATCCACGATTTTAGGGGCTCCTACTGCCCCTCCCTGATATAGGCAAAGGGGGCACTTGCAAGTACATTATTTACGCTACATGGAATGTATATAGCCATGAATAAATAAAAAATATTTCGAACTGATTACAAAAATATGTCAGGCTGGTGGCTCTACGAGTGCTACAGGTAACATGTAAACAAGTACATTCCGCATGGCTGGATCATCGGTGACCAAAATGGTTCCTTCGCCGGGCTTTTCTGGTGAGGATGGCTAGACATCCAGTAAGATTAAAAACAAGACCTGTCAAAGAGCAGGTTAACCTTTTTGTAGAGTTAACGGGCATCTAACACAGTGGGATAGACTGGGCTCCATAGTTATGTATTTAGACAGTGTGGTGAGCACAAGGGATTGCTTGGTGGAGGGCTTCCAGGACTAGAATCAATGGCCAGGGCGGAAGTTTTCCCCCAATAGAATCAACGGTCATGTGTCCGTGACCAAGATGATTCTCCAAATTGGTGAGCATCAGCTTTGATCTAAACTGGAGAGGAATGTGTTCTGTAGGTCTACTTGCATGAAACACACTACGCATGAATGGATACTTCTCCGGCTTTCAACCCAAATATATGGTAGGAACTGTTCTAATACGCAGACCCTACGCCCATACCCGGAACTGATGATGATGATGATGATGATGATAGAAATAATTAATAAGGAATTTGAAAAGAGGTCTACATCACCCATCTGGCGTTTCCTTTTTTTATCAGCTTGGCCTCAACCTGAGCGCAATGCTGCAAGTACAGGACACCGAGAGAAAATATCCTGCGAGATATCCTGTTAGATTCGCATGCTAACTCTTACCCTACGGTGAATTTGGTGTTTAAATAGTCATGTACTGAATCGTCTTCAGAACGTTGGCGATCATGGCTCTCCACAATTTCCTGTCCTTTGTAACGCTCAATAATTTTTCTCTTTTTGTTGTTTCTCTTTAAACCCTGTTCTGTCATCCATTTACTCAAGTTCGCTAGGTAGATTATGCGTTATTTTCCGCTGTCTTTCTTGCCTTCAATCTGTTCTGTGAGTATCAAATTTTCCAAGCCTTCTTTCCTCATCACGTGCCATGAAAATTACAACTCTCTCTTAATTACAATTGTTAAATATAAGTATACTTTTTGTTTCCATTTTCTCTAAAACTTTGTGGGCTTATATCACATTGAAACACTGGTTCCAGTACGATCACCGAAGTTAAGCAACGTCGAGCCTGGTCAATACATAGATGGCTGATCGCTTGGGAATAATATGTGCTGTAAGCTTAGATGTGTGGGTAGTGTAATAGTTCAATGGCTCGGAATTGATAACCGAGGAGCCGAGTTCCAATTCCAGTTGGGTTCGTTATATTCACATACATGCAAATACCCTTGGGAAAGATATGAATCCACCTCTTCTCCCCCATCTATGGGTTAATTAGTAAAATTTGTATAACTAAAACCATTATTATCTTAAGAAAAAATAACTGTATACAAAATATTTAGATTTCGGCATTCAATAACCCATAGAGGTGTTGATTATCCGCTAAACAAATCAGCTAACCAACATCTAAAAGTTCATCGTTGCTCACATGTTTGGTTCATGGTACTCTCGTGGTATTTCTTCTGTAGAATCACATTCCGGTGGCTTAAGTCTCTTCTTCATCTTTGAGGAAATTGTCCAGCATTCACTGTCATATATGAGGACTGCATAACAGTTCAGTATTATTTTCCTTGTTTCTAACGAAGCTTTCCTGTTTCTTAATACTCTGCTTAACTTTTAGAAGGTAACTTTCGTTATTCCAATGCGCCTTCGGATTTCGGTGTCACACTTTCCGTCTCTTGTTAAAACACTTCTCAGATATTTTTTACTGTTTCTTAATACTCTGCTTAGCTTTTAGAAGACATCTTTCGCTAATCCAATGAGCCTTCGTATTTCAGTGTTGTACTTTACGCCCTCTGTTAAAACATTTCCCAGATTGCAGTACTCTTTTCTTTGTCTCAAACGAAATTTTCCTGTTTGTTAATACTTTGCTTAGCTTTTGGAAGGCGTCTTTCGCTATGATAATGCGTCTTCGTATTTCACTGTTGTACTTTACGCCCTCTGTTAAAACATTTCCCAGATTGCAATACTCTTTTCTTTGTCTCGAACGAAATTTTCCTGTTTGTCAATACTTTGCTTAGCTTTTGGAAGGCATCATTCGCTATTCCATCGCGTTTTCGGATTTCAGTGTCGCACTTTCCGTCCTCCGTTAAAACACTCCCCAGATATCTAAATTATTTCTTGTGCTGGTCACCTGGAAGTGGTTAGCGAGTTCGTCTAGTAAATCACTATGTAGTAAGTTCTAGTTATCACTACGTCTTTTTCATTTTTTATGTGCCGTATCCATTCAGGAAGTGGGTGATCATGACTCTCCACAATTTCCTATCTTTTGTCACTATTCCACGTACTTCATTTACTGCCATCCATTTGCACAAACTCTTTTCTTCTGCTCCTTTTACCTTGTGTCAGATTCTCCAAGAACTCTTTCCGCTTTATGCATCCCAGAAACAGCATCTGTCTCTTTCTGATACTAAGCATGTGTACTTTTCGCTTCCATATCGATTTACGGTCATATGTCGTTGAAACACCTGTTCTCGCACGATATCAAATTTAAATAACACTGGACCTGGTCATTATCTAGACGAGTAACTGCTTAGGAATACCAGGTGCTGTAAGCGTGGATGTGCGGGTGGTGTAATGGATAACGGCACGGAATTAGAACTCGGCTCTCCGAGTTCCAATCCTAATCGGATTCATTATATTCACTTACGCGCAAATACATTTGGGAAAGATATGAATCCATCTTTTTTCTTCCTCCAGGTATGGGTCAATTTTTAGGACTTTTATCAGTAAATAAATATCTATATAATTCTCAAAATGTGTGTTTGTCTGTATGTGTGTGTGTGTGTGTGTGTGTGTGTGTGTGTGTGATCGGATGTTGTTTATGCATTTCCACAGTTTTCATCCGATTTTGATGATTTCTTTTGTTTGATAGTTAATTCTTCAGTACCGTTTTAAGCCCAAATTGTTGGAGACAATGGCTCTCCACTACTTCCTGCCCATTACAACACTCAGAAACGTTTTACTATTTACTATCTTGTCTTGGATATATATCTTTCATAAATACTTTAATAAAAAATAAATAGTTTAAATTATTGCAATAATATTTTTTATTATTATACAGTTCCCTTTTCAGGGCCACCCCCTCCCATTCAAATTGTCACCCCCCCCCATTTGGGGATGTTCCTCAGTTGCACCCAAATATTGTTACTAATATTGATTTAACAAGCAAGTATTTTGGACCAATTCATTAATACAATGATTTTGATCCTCACTGGGTAACCCATGATCGCGCCACTACCCTGATTTTGTAATAAACTGGGTTTAATAACAATTTTAAGCATCAAATTATATTTGAGATGGCCGGATGTAACCATAATTTCAATGACAACAGTTTCTTTTTACGCACTTTTACTTTCTGGAACTCCATTCCGGCTCCATGTCCTCCAGCCAAGTTCAAATGGAATGTCAATCGCTATCAGCTGCCCATCTGCATATTTGCAGGAAATAAGATCTTTTCTCCAACTTTCAACGGTGGAATCAATTAACAAATTAAAGTAGCACATGTTACCAAAAATGGGATCGTTTCTCCCAATTTAAACGGTGGAATCTATTAAAAAAAAAAAGTAACACATTCTTGCTGAAAATGTGAAATTTTCATCCATTTTTAATTCTAGAAAAAATGAACAAATAACAGAACATTTTCCCAAAAATGGGAAAGTTTCTCCAATTTTAACGGTGGAATCAATTAACAAATTATAGTAGAACATATTGCCGAAAATGGGATTTTTTCACTCATTTTCAACTGGAAAGAAAATTAACAAAATAAAGTAGCATACTTAGCCGAAAATGGGATTATTTCTCTCACTTTGAAGTGTAGGAAAAATTGAATAAATAAAGTAGAACATTGTGAAAAAATTGGATGTTCTCTCATTTTAAATTGTAGAAAATATTAACTGCTTAAAGTAGCACATTTTGGTGAAAATGGGATCTTTTCCGACATTTTCAATTGCAGAAAGAATTAACAAAATAAAGTAGTACATTTTGCCGAAAATGTGATCATTTCCTTCAATTTCAATTGTAGAGACTAAAGTTGAATATTTTGCCGAAAATGGGATCTTTTCTCTCATTTTCAATTGTAGACACAATTAACAAAATAAAGTTTAATATTTTGCCGAAAATGTGGTCATTTCTCTCATTTTCATTTGTAGAAACATTTAACTAAATAAAATAGCACATTTTGACAAAAATGTGATCTTTTCTCTCATTTTCATCTGTAGAAACTATTAACAAAATAAAGTACCACATTTTGTAGAAAATGGGATCATTTCTCTCATTTTCATTTGTAGAAACAATGAACAATATAAAGTGAAGATTTCGCCGAAAATTGGATCATTTCTCTCATTTTCATTTCTAGAAACAATTACCAAAATAAAGTAGAAGATTTTGCCGAAAATATGTATTATGTCTCTCATTTTCATTTGTATAAACAAATAAGTAATAAATGTTACGCATTTTGCCGAAAATGGAATCTTTTCTCTCATTTCCAATTTTAGAAGCATTTAACCAAATAAAGTAGCACATTTTGCCGAAAATGTGGTCATTTTTCTCATTTTCAATTGTAGAAATAATTAACAAATTAAAGTTAAATATTTTGCCGAAAATGGGATCTTTTCTCTGATTTTCAATTATAGAAACAACTAACAAAATAAAGTAGCATATATGGCCGAAGATTGGATTATTTCTGTCATTTTCATTTATAGAAACAATTAACTAAGTAGAGTAGCATATTTTGACAAAAATGTGATCTATTCTCTCATTTTCAATTGTAGAAACAATTAACAAATTAAAGTTGAATATTTTGTCGAAAAGGGTATCTTTTCTCTCATTTTCAATTGTAGAAACAATTAACAAATTAAAGTTGAATATTTTGTCGAAAAGGGTATCTTTTCTCTCATTTTCAATTGTAGAAACAATTAACAAATTAAAGTTGAATATTTTGTCGAAAAGGGTATCTTTTCTCTCATTTTCAATTGTAGAAACAATTAACAAATTAAAGTTGAATATTTTGTCGAAAAGGGTATCTTTTCTCTCATTTTCAATTGTAGAAACAATTAACAAATTAAAGTTGAATATTTTGTCGAAAAGGGTATCTTTTCTCTCAATTGTAGAAACAATTAACAAATTAAAGTTGAATATTTTGTCGAAAAGGGTATCTTTTCTCTCATTTTCAATTGTAGAAACAATTAACAAATTAAAGTTGAATATTTTGTCGAAAAGGGTATCTTTTCTCTCATTTTCAATTGTAGAAACAATTAACAAATTAAAGTTGAATATTTTGTCGAAAAGGGTATCTTTTCTCTCATTTTCAATTGTAGAAACAATTAACAAATTAAAGTTGAATATTTTGTCGAAAAGGGTATCTTTTCTCTCATTTTCAATTGTGGAAACTATTAACAAAATAAAGTAGCACATTTTGGCAAAAATAGTATCTTATCTCTCATTTATAATTGTAGAAACAAATAACAAAATAAAGTTGAAAATTTTGCCGAAAGTCGGATCTTTTCTCTCATTTTCAATTGTGGAAGCATTTAACCAAATAAAGTAGCACATTTTGCCGAAAATGTGGTCATTTCTCTCATTTTCATTTGTAGAAACAATTATCTAATTGAAGTAGCACAATTTTCGGGCAATGGGAGATTTTCTCTCATTTTTAATTGTAGAAAGGATTAACTAATTAAAATAGCACATTTTTACAAAATTGGATCTTTTCTTTTATTTTCAATTAACAAATTGAAGTTGCACATTTTGCCGAAAATGTTATCATTTCACTCATTTTCATTCGTAGAAACAATTAAAAAATTAAATTAGATCATTTTGCCTAAAATGAGATCTTTTCTCTCGTTTTCAGTTGTAGAAACAATTAACAAAATACAGCCACACATATTGCTTAAAATGTGATATTTTCCCTCATTTTCAATTGTAGAAACGGTTAACAAAATAAAGTAGAACATTTTGCCGAAGTTGGGATTATTTCTCTCATTTTTATTTGTACAGGCAATTACCTAATTAAAGTAGCACATTTTGGCAAAAATCGGGTCTTTTTTCTCATTTACATTTGTAGAAACAATTAACAAATTAAAGTAGCACATTTTGCCGAAAACGGAATCTTTTCTCTCATT